CCTTAGACGACTTGGACACCCGTGTCCTCCTTTGAACAAGAGCCAAACTGAACAGACAAGTGTTTTCTATATTTGAGACAGATTTGTTTACCTGCATTAAAATGTGAATACATCTCTTAGAGGTTCAAATAGAATTTGATCATGACTTTGGAACAATGTGGGTTTGGATAAAAATCAGTTTCAAATCACAATAACACGACAATCGAACAATTTGATGAACTTACTCTGAAAGTTATAACACTAATGTAGTTTGCGGATTGATTTCATATTGAGCGCCGCCAAATCTGCAGATAACATAGCTCTACTTTAAAACACAATAATTTTACCTCCTAGTTGTTCTTAACACGCCACCTGTGATTATCAAACTACGCCGGTTTTAACAACATTGCAACATTATGTTGTCGGAGAATACCTGAAATTGACCATCCTGGCAATTATTCATTCAAACCTACTTTGTTTTGTTTATCAGTTAACTCAGTCTGGCAATGGATGATGGCCCTAATTACACAGAAATGATGTCACATCTCTCACATGGTACCGATTACAACATATAGAACTAAACTTCGGTTCTTTACCGTCTTTAGAGTGCATAGAGCATTAGCTTGAAAGCGCTATACTTTAACTTCTTTAAAATCCCGCCACGCCTGAGTTTCGGACGAGAACAACGAGACCATAGCAAGATCTCATTGAAGATATATCCTTCGGCGCTATGCTATCTCAAATAAGTGTCTGTTTTTCGATGATTCTAAGATGGCAATCACATCGTGTCCATTGATAAAACATCTGCCTCTTCCTAGTGCAACGCTTCAGTGATAGACATATTATCAGTGAATGACAGTCCGGAACGATACAATGCCAGGAAAGACTGGCTCTGCCAATCAAGACAGTGGCTTGCTTCTTCGGGGATTTCAAAAGTCATTCCCCAGTCTGAAAACACGGTTAAGTTAGGTTGGAAAATATGCAGGGATTGCTCTTCCGACAGGTAGGCTATCAGTCCAAAAACACGATACAGGCAAAAATGCTATTCATCACTTTTAAGTAGGCTCAAGCTTGGAATATAGGCAACTAAACACTTCGATGTGATACCAGGTGCCCACGCGTCAAAAACGCATGCAATGGCATGTCAAATGTTCACCCTGTTACGTATCAGTTCCCAAATTGAAACAATATGTTAACCCAGAAGTCTGTACTTAAATGAATTTAGCGTGAAACCAACAAACAACCCACAAATGGTATGTAATCAATAATATATTACACAATTAACTAGGTTTACAAATAAATACAAATTACTGCACAGAAATTAAAATGCCAGTTCACTATAGATTGGTCATACAAAATTCAATGGCAGCAGTTGAAATGACAATAACAATAACAATATACAAGTCGACGCAACAGTGGTCAAGTTTCAAAGATAGGCCTTGGCGTAGTGTGAAATGGGATCTTCACACGATAGCTGGTTTTTGATGTTATGTCAGAAGAAATGCCTGACGAAATGTCAGATGAGGCAGGGACGTGCCCGCTCCTCTTATATACTAGCTTCCAGTAATTTCTAAACGGTGCTAGACCAGTCCAGTGTCACTTGAACATCACAGAATATTCCATTCCATATGTTTCTATAATGCTTGATATCCATTGGCATGCTATTCCAGAAGTTTGCGGATAATTCGAGCATTTAAATAAAATAACTTCCTCACCACTGCTTACATTAAATAGTACTACATACCTGACAACTGATCGTTGTCCATATACAATGCAATGAACTTCAACTGAATCTCAACAGAAACAATGTAATGCAATTACGATCATTGTTTAACAATAAATTACACTACCATATAACAACCTGAACAAACACGAGAACACATTATGTAGTAAAATTATAGAATTGCATTGGACATCATGTTTGTGTCAAATGATGCGTCAAATTTGGAAATGTCCTCCACATATCTACTATAAAACTATTTGAAAGCTTGACTAAGACCTTGATTGCTGTGCCTCTGCTCAATGTGAACTTGATTTATTTTTAAGTGAAATTTCATAATTAGCAATGTAACTGTTGCAACAGGTAAGACAGCGAATAGTTTGTCCTCTATCTTGGTTTCGTTTGTCACACATGAAGTTTGACACTGTATGTAAAACTAACTGAGTCGTGTTTAAGATTGAAAATATGTGCGAATTTCAACGTTCATCCGATGCTAGAAATTCAGTTTTCAGCGTACAAATGTCTGATTTTTTGGTTATGCTCTCTGTATGGATTACCCAATGGGTAACGTCGCAAGCAGGATAATTACCAATTGGTGATGACACAGGTTTTCTTTCTTTTGGTGTCAGTTCACGTCATCTAATATTTGGATATTGTGACAACATACCCAATATATGTTAGTTCTTCATTTCGAGATGCAGGAAGATATGGATGGATGGTAAAACGATATGGGGAAATTTGCATCGATGGCGATTTGCTGGAAGATTTTATTGATGCAATGGTGACGGGGAAGATAGGCATGTGTAGTTAGGTGATGTGAGAAGATAAGCATGGGTAGTTAGGTGATGTTTAAATATATAGATAGAAGGTATGGTGGTGGTGGTATATGTGTGTGTGTGTGATGACATGCATCAACCAAGTCATCGAGTCTGACCACCTGATCCCTTTAGTCGCCTCTTACGACAGGCATAGTCCCTTTTACGGCAAGCATGGGTTGCTGCTGAAGACGCATTCTAACCCCGGATCTTCACGGGTTCTACAGCTAGACCAAGGGGGCGGTCTGGGGATTGGGGAAGATATTGATGAATGGTATGGTGATGTGGGGAAACACGCATGAGTGGCATGGGAATGTGGGAATATATTCCTGGGTGGTTAGGTGATGTGAGAAGAAATGTATATTTTGTTAGTGGTGTGGAAACATAAGCATGGATGATATATTAATGCGGGAAGAAACACACGGATGTTTAGGTGATTGGAAAAGATATAAATGTCCGATTTTGAAAGATATATCCATGCGTGGTTAGATGTGGGTGGAAGTGTGCATGGATGCACGCAGTTTGGTGATGTGAAAATCGAACTGGGTGTCTTGGAAGTAACTGAGTACACCCAAATATTTAGCAAGAAGGTATGATAGCATTTAGTTGATAATAAGAATTGGATGACGTTTAGTAAAGATACAAGATATAATGATAACATAATGTCGTCGTTGCTATGAAGATCAGCAGTCAGGATTTCTTCTCCGACGTCAAATGTTTTGTTGCTTTCAGCTGAAGTTCGTGCATTGGGCAACTTTCGAACATTTCTCTGACTCTCGGTACATCGGTGATCTGATGGTAGCACAAATGTGGGCGTGTTGAAGAGTCTCTTTAGATATAACGTCATTAATACATATAACAAACAGCCATCGTTTATCCTGTCAAAGGGGTTTTACCTTCCCTTGGTCTCTCGACCAGTCGGCAAACAAGGAGTTCAAATAATTGCATACCACTTTATAACACGTATTACGTCGAGTTCAGACATTTTGGTATGTTTTGCTACTGGATATTCAGTTATGATTTTTTCTTGTAAACATATAATCTATCCAATGATAATATCCTCACATGATGGGGACGGCGAGTACTTGCTAACATGGTTTTGGTGTACAAGTAAGTATCAGTTCTTAATCTCGGGGAAACACTGACTGGGTAATTGCCATGCACCCAACACTGATCACGAGTCACTGAATATATACAGGGAGCAACCACGACCTCCTATGCCAAAGAAGATGACGACACTGAGAAGGTCCATGGTAACGAAAGACATATTCAGCATCATTTGAACAATTTGATACAGGCAAACCTCGAACTTCATTTACTCGACATACCGGTTAAGGCGATAAGTATCTACTCTCCCGTATCATCCCAATGATCTAATATAGGCACTTCGTTTCTCTCGAACTAACTCGATAAATGTTCGATGGTCCCCAGAGCGTCTAATTAATGTTTGCGCTATATTTTGACATGTAGAGTAACATTAAAATGATACAATTGTGAGCGATTATTCTGTCTCTTAACTCTTTACTGTTAAGGCTGGAAAAGGAAAACAGACAAACATATGTGTAGCAGAGTTTGTGAAATATATAAACAAGTGATTCTGTTGCATTTGATTGGCTAAGCAAGCTTTCATTTTTGCGTTTCTGTTTCCATACACCGAAAAAGAAATGAGGCATGGGCCACTAACTGAATACTGATTGGTTGATAATAGAATGGGCGGAGCTTGTGTTGCATTATTGGGCTGAACTATGTCACATTGTTTGGTGTTATGACAAAATAAGCAGTCTGTGAAGTTAATATTGTTGAGGTATTATTTATAAGAAGTGACTTCAATCTGTTGTTGCGGTTTGTTTATTTATGAACGTAAAAGCAGATGTGCACGCTGATTTACGCAGTATGCAGATAATTCTAGATCACTACTGACCTTATCGGGAGATCGACCACAACAACTTTCCTGGGGATTTACAGTTTTAAAAAAGTAATAACAGTTGTAGTTGTCTCACTGGTAAAACGAGATTATATTTGAGAAAATATCGCGGCAATTCAAAAACCTGCCTTGATGTAGGTAATCCTCCAGCGCTGGCTATGCGTTGATAACATGTGTCTTGACATGTGTCAAGAAGTCTCTACTAAAAGCAGAGTCGATTGAGCGAATCCGTCGAAATCGTGAGCATGTGTCACTATCAATTTATAGTTTATAGTTTCGGTATTGATTTATAGTTTATACCGAAACGTATGACAAAGTCGTGCATGTATGAAACAAAATTTATTTTGGGGAAATTAAATACGAAATGCAGTGTAATATCCATAGGTTTCTTGTTGAACGCCGCACTTAGCAATATTCCAGCTCTGTGACGAGGGCTAAGTATGTGATCAGTGGATGTCTTGATAACACGGTTTTATACCACTTGAAGCTTAAATCTAACATTGTTTCATTTGTTTTAGTCATCTCTTCACTTTCGTTATCTCTCCTTTGTGTTTACTTCCAGTGGCGGCTTTCACCCAGCATGAAGTGCAATCAGCCAAGCGGATGAGTGCCCGCGACAAACTGACACGGGTGTCAACAGCTCCGCTGGGCTACCTGACTAGACAGCCTCCTGAAATGACGGAGACCCACAGAGCTAAGCGATCTGCTGAAGGCGCTTCAATACGTCCTGAAGAATACGCAGAAGAGATTCTTGGACTAAAGGGCGCGGAGAGGTTTGAAACTGTTAAAGAAGTTGTCACCGTCCACGGCGTCACTTTGAGGAAGATGAAAGAACGGTACCGGGACAGGGACGTGTTCGACACCATCGTAACGGTCAAAGTGGACGATGACAACGAAACTCTTGTTGATGCTAGTGGTTCTATTGTTGAAGATATTGAAACCGAATTAAAGGACTTTGATCACGAGCTGTCCGACGAGAAGTTGTATGATATACTTATCATCCATAACAATGATGAAAATATCACAGAAAGTATAGGAAATCGTAAGATTGTGTACGATGTACATTTAGATGACAACGGTACGGCCATTCCAATTGCAATTGTGGAATATCTCATTGAAACGGAGGAAGTGGTGAAGCGACCAATGGCAATCATAAACACAAGAACTGGAGAAGTGATAAAAGCATGGAACAATCTCCAGACGTGTTTCCCCAACGAACGCCACAAGCTCTACGGGGGTAATGAAAAGATTGGTAAACGGGAGTATGGAATAATACCTCAGTGTTTGGAAGTGCGAAAGGAAGGGAATACTTGCTACTTGGAGAATGACCTTGTGAGAGTTGTTGATATGCAGCACACAGAGCTGGAGAACATCACTGAGACTGCAAGCTTCGACTGTGATCAGACCTACAATGACTCCATCAACGGAGCATACTCCCCAGCCCTAGACGCTTTGTACTTTGGGACACAGATACAGAAGATGTTCCTTGAATGGTTTGGTCATAAGCTTGTTGATGACCTGGTCATGAGAGTGCATTTCTCCAAGAATCACGTGAATGCTTTCTGGAATGGCAAGAATGTGACGTTCGGAGATGGTCGTAGAAGAATGGTCTATCCTTTTGTTGCCCTTGATATTGCAGCACACGAAATCGCTCATGGTTTCAGCGAGCATAACGCGGGGCTGCTGTATGTGAGCCAGACGGGAGGGATAAATGAAGCCTTCTCGGACATGGCAGGTGAAATGGCAGAGTTGTACCTTGACATGGTAGATTGGAGAGTTGGTTACGCCATCATGTGGCCTGAAAGATCCATGCGCTATCTGGATGATCCACCAAAGAACGGAAGATCCATCAAGCACATGAAGAAGTACAAAGAAGGCATTGATCCTCATGGGTGCAGTGGGATCTACAACCGCGTGTTTTATCTCCTGTGTCAAGAATACAGTGATGATCCCAGAGACGTCTTCAGAGTCTTCCTCCTTGCCAATAAGATGTACTGGCATCCTCTTAGCAACTTCTCAGACGGAGCGTGTGATATTATGAAAGCAGTTTATGACCTTGGTCAGACGCCAGAGCACTATATCAAGTCCTTCGACGACGTTGGCATTGAGGCATGCGACATTAAAGACCACATTCTCCATCTCAGGCACAATAAAACCCGAAATGGGGTCACCGTTTCCAGATCAATTAACCCAGTGTTTGCCATCGAGGTTCCCGAGTGGGCTAGTTCCTTCTATATCCAAACAACAAGCGGAGGTGGCAAGGATATATTAATTGAAATAATCACTGAATCTTGGAACAGACAGACTAGAAACACTGTGCCTGTTGCTGATGAAAACAACTACCTGGAGTACAATGTAACCAATCTGGATTCCAGGTACTTCTTTATCCGGTTCTCGACAAAAAGTCGCATAGCTATCAAGGATGTATCCGTGAGGGCAGGCTACTTCTGCTTGGACTACTACACTCATCGAAACTTCTTGTACAGGGCGTTCTATGCACTGGAGTGTTGGGGCATTGACCTTTGGGCAGGATGAGTCAATCGTAGAAGGAAACATAGACGAGGATTGTACTTAAATACGACTTCTGTTAGCACACTGAAACACTTGCTAACAGACAATATATATACTATGCATTAAACTTGACATTTAAATACCAGAAAGCTATATGGATGGATGATAACGTGAGTAATATGGTAATAGATGAACACCACTCTGTGACCAAAAGGGTGTTACGAGTGATCCTGAAAGTGTTCATAGTCTGTATTGACTTACCGAGAGGAAAGGTCGTCTGATTTGGTTTGTTGCTTAACAGTTTTAACATAGATTTTAAAAGTACGAAACCTCGTTAATCCGGACAGATCCGGATTGACAAGTTTCCGGATTATAGAATCATGGGTACGGGGTATGTTTCCTTTGTAAACATCTTAAACAGTGTCAGATGAGGCGGTCTCATACATTGTAATGATTTTTTGTCTCCATTAACTGTTTCTTTATTGAGTCTTAAGAACATTTTGGAAGTTTAATGTACTCCCACATTTCCGCATATACTGAATGGCGATAACAAAACGTCCCCAAACTGTAGATATGGGTCATTATTCATATGTTCGTTACATTTTCTTAGATCATGTCTCTAATGAATATTTGGAAAATCACAAAACGAAAATTTGTTTATTGTAATAGTTATTTTATTCAGTGTGATATGCTTGTGTGTTGTTTCTCAATTTAACTAAACGTCATACATTTGCATTTAATGGATCTGAGAAAGATGGAATATTATGTTAACCCCAAATGGACTTCAACAGGGCGGTGAACACTGTCTTGTGTCAATTTGAATGACAAAAATGGAATATCCTGTTGAAAGGTTCACCTTGTAGGACATACATTTAATTCAATATTTTCGTATGGTATCTATTCACCAACTAACGCTGTTTCATCTATTAATATGTCAAAGGCTGATATACGAGTACAACAGTTGAGCATTTAGCTTTTCCTTTTTCAATTTGTGTTAGAAGATTGTATATAGATGGATTGATAGATTGGTAGAAAATTGTGTTCTCATTTGAATATTTGATTTTGTGAAGTATGTTATCGTGACTGTTCACTACTGTTTAAGGAAAATAAACACAAGTAAATATTTCTAACTGCTTGAAGTTCCTTCGTTTTCATGTATCGTCATTTTGAATACATAATATTATAACAAAACTATGTCATCAAAGTGTCCTGCATGAACACATGAAAAGTGGAAAAAACATGTCTTACTGAAAACAAATGTAATGTAGAATTATGGATTATAGTTAAAAATGCCTTACCAAACAAACACATGGAAATATCTTGGACACATTGTGTACAGCGTGTTTATTCAGTGTATGAGTTTTATATAAGTCGAAAAAAACTAGTGGGCAAAAGAAAGTATACACCCATGTTTGATGGTCAATAAAATGAAAACAAACAAGAGAATGTTATTCAATGATGGTGTATTCGCTAATAGGGTCACATGCGATAGGCTGTGAACAATTTCAGTGCAAAACGCAAAACAGGTGACGTGTACATGACGTTTACATGAACGTGGGGGTAGGCAGATCACAGGTCACAGGAATGATCAGAGTCAACCAGGTACTGTCTTGATAGGTTTGTGATCTTTAACAGAGTACCTGGTACGCTCAGTAACAAGTATGACCACCGTGAGCATCAATGCACGCCCAGACTCGCCGCCTCATTGAAGTTGTCAGTCGCCTGATGACGTAATCGGGCACCAAACGCCCCCCCCCCCCCCCCCCCCTGTGAAACAGCTGAAACCTGCTTTCGTCAGAGAAAAGCCCTCTCTGCCAATCACGGACATGCCAACGTCCTACTGTCCAGGCCCATTGCAGTCTTCGACGTCGATGTTCCCGGGTCAATGCCATTCCACGGAAGGGACGGAGAGCTCTAATACCTGCGTCACGTAGACGTCGTAGCACGTGCGTCGACTGATACGGTGTCCTAGCGCCGTTATTGTCGTTTCCGTCGCCGTGACGAACCTGTTGCGCAGATGGTACGTCCGCAAGTGCCGATCTTCCTGATGCGTTGTCACTCGTGGTCTGCCCGATCTTGGCCTGTTTTGTGTCCTGCCTGTCTGTCTGGGGCGTCGAAACAGTCTGACGACCGTTGCCAGTGTACAGTTGAGGTTGTTTGCAATCTGTGTTTTATTACTTGGGCTGTCTTAGCAACGGTTCATCGACTTTTAAAACAAATTCAGCACGTGCAATTCTGAAAGATTAGCTTCTCACTTAAAACCTCATTTCAGGGTAAGTCGATCTCCCCATCCAAGCATACATGATGAAAGAGAGTCAGCATTTGGCGCAAGATTTGGTCCATTTCAAACGCAATGGTTGTAGTAATTATATTGTGCTTGCCATCATTATTTCGCCATCAAGGCTCTCTTTGAAAGGACGTAACAAGACGTTTTCTTAACTGTTAATGTGAAAATGGAGTTGATTTTCAAACGCTCATCGTCTTTCAAGTGGTAGTAAGGCTTGTCAAGAAGATTATCGAAAATAGCTTTTCCAATCGCATTCAGCGGAATGTGTTTTGCTTTATCATAGTGTTTTCTTTCAGGCCAGGTTCACACAGTGCCGATTATGGATCCCGTTTGAGATCAGACAGCGCTAAGAAACGAAAATTGAAAAAGTCGGATTACTATCCTCAATGATCGGGAAGGTCCTATCATTGTCTGAGCGTAGTCGTATACGTTCGTAACAGAGTCCTACAGGTCGGGAAAGTTCCAGAGAGGTCGGCCAAGCACTCCCGACAGTATGGTGCGTCCCGTAACATTCGGGAAACTCAGCCGATTCTGCTGTATCGGATCAAAATCGTAACAATGACCTGTGTTGTCTGGACGCTGTCCTGTGGATCGGGACGTGGTCGTGATGAACGGGCACAAATTGTTAATTCCCGTTTCTTGTCGATTGAGTCCAGATTGCGTCCAGATCTTGCCGAATGCGATCGCTGTCTGATCTCTGTCGGATCGCATTCGGGAGAATCGGGACGCTGTCGGGTCAGATTCGGTCTTTTTTTACCACGCGGAGATCAGATCGGATCAGATTCGGATTGAGAACGGGAGAATCGGGACGGATTCAGCTGAAAACGGCTGAATTAGGATGCTTCCTGAACAATATCTGATTGTTTTTGAATTTCTTGCCACGAACCACATGATCGTGATCAGATTTTTTACAAATTTTAATTGGGAATGGTCCTATCAAGGACGGCAGTAAAAATGCTGAATGTGTGATTGAGCCCTTAGTGTCTTTGTGAAAGATTACATATAATATAAAACGTCAGCGCCAGAGAACAAATTAGTCGCGATTATCTGCCGAAACAGAATGATTCAATTGGGCCTAAAAGAAAAATAGCGGTGACAATTTTATGAATGGATCTCTGAAAATCGAAATGCTCTGTATTGGTTGCATTTTGTTATCCCGAAATTCGTTCAACCTGTTATACGTTAACGTGTTACAAGTGTATGTTAAACAATTGATAAGGTTTCTGGCCTCCTCCGTAGACTAGTGGATAGAGCGTCTGTCCGGAAAGCGGAAGGTTTAAGATGGTACTTGTTGTTACCCTGTCTGGCGCTCGGAGTCAGTATACTGTGTCTGAGTTGGTACCCATGTTAAAACTAAAGCATGATATCTCAGTGTGCTAGCACTATAAAGCCGTCATTAGTCCAGACTTGTAACAAATAAGCACTTTGCCATCCCAAAGCCCTAGACCTTCTCCTTAAGTGACCGTCTGTGGTATCATGGTGTTTTGCAATATGCTAGTATCCTCTTCTTGTAAGGGAGCACGGGTGGCACGGCGCTTTACGTTGCAGCAATACAGTTACATGTAGTGTTTCGTTTGGCGTGTAACAGTGTTCAGATTATGCCTCTGTTCAGCCAGCAGCTAATGGGTACCCGATATGATAAAGGGGTTATGCGACTGTTAACTTTCTATAGCCTCGTAGGTTGTATGTCTACACTGATCCATTAGTGATGGTAGGGCTTTAGCACATACTGTTGTATTGAATTTATCGTATTGTTTGTTTTTTGTTTGTTTGTTTGTTTACGGTGGGGTAGGCTCATGCCAATGTGCAGTCCAAGCAAGTTCGTTTCAGGTCATCCATACACCGCATCCCAAATTTTATTATAACGATCAATCGAGCAATAAGCTAATTCAACATAGGAACAACAAAATACCCAGACTAGATGTGTTTGTTTGTTTTTATGATGCTGCACTCAGCAATATTCCAGCTGTATGACGGCGGTCTGTAAATAATTGACGAGCTTCAACCACGTCAGCAAGCCTGACCACCCGGTCCCGTCAGCCCAAGACACCATGCCTCAAATAAATGTGATCCACAGTATGACCGGGAAGTATGTGAACTGGCAAACATCGCAATGCGTGCTTTCGGAGAGGAATTGTGTGTAGAATATCTATTACGTCAACGGTTGTCGTGTGACTGCTCGAACTACATAGTCCATGGGTGCTGCTGCCCTCACGACTGGAAAAAGACGCAGGCGGCAAAGATGTTGACACATTTACCAGATGTTGTTAACAAGTAGCTCGATGTAACTCTACATGGGCTTGAGTGTGCAAATACCATCTGCGCTGTCACTGGTGTGTGTGAAATGTACAAGGCAGGTGTAAAATAGGTTTTTGCTCTGTTGCAAAATCCCAGGAAGTTAGAATACGCGCATCTCTCATTCAACTGATCCCTGAAGATAAGCATCTTTAATGTATATGGTATATGTACGCGATGTATGTGTGCGTGTGTGGAGAGCCAACTTCCTGGGCAATACTATATGTTTCGCCAAGTTCTTTTCTTTCGAGTCTTTTACGATAAAAGCTTTATTCACTGTAAAGATTTCCTGTGCTGACAGCGTTAGAGCTATTTCCAGCTAAACAGATGTTATTATGCACAGAACTGTCGAAGTGTTACCAGTATAGTTATGGCGTTTCGACAGGTTTTATCAATTATATATTTTGGGAAATGGCTGTATATAAAATCCAATTGCCAACACACCATTTCTTAAGACATGTTAACCTCACTTCGTGTTCACATCAGACTGCTATAAAACAACAGTCACATCTTTTCTCAAATCATCAAAGGAGATACAATGGTTAAAAACATGTGGCACCAGCAATATAATAGGCCCTATTACAAAATTTAGTGCACTCACGAATTTCCAGTATTTGTTACAGTAGATAAGTCGCAAGTCAAAGGAAGGATTCGAACCGCCCTCGTCTTTCGCTTATAAAGGTCGTTGGTTGGTTTGTTGTTTAACGCCTCACTCAGCAATGTTCAAGCTATGTTACGGCGGTCTGTAAATAATCGAGTCTGGACCAGACAATCCAGTGATTCATGTCATGAGCATCGATCCATGTAAATGTGATCGATGACATGCATCAACCAAGTCAGCGAGTCGGACCACCTAATCCCTCGCTTATAAAGGATTAGCCAGAAAATGTTGCCTGTTCACAAGACAAGCTCCTCACAGCGAAACCCTCTACGCCGGTAGAGTAACGAGAGTTCTTGGACGGAGTTTGAACAAGGGAGGTCACTCTAGATCAAGGTCATTACCACAACTCTGCATTATACAACCGCTTCAATCAAATTGTTCACACTTACATCCATCAGAAATAAACTTACACGTACATTTAATACTGCCAATAACATAACTGCAGGACGTAACACTGTTAAGACAACCGTGTAGTGCATTCCCCATTATCGTGTGTATTATACCTATGAGGAGGTAAGACTCATTTGATAATCGACGGTGGAAGGGTCTATGCACCGAATCCTTGCTTCAAGATAATAATGTTTCGAAACCTTAGATATTTTCCTTTCTTTATTGACTGATGTTCACATATCCTGAAGTATCAATGAGTATGTTTGTGTGTCTGTCTGTTGTTTAACGCCACACTGCAATATTCCTGCTATATGACGGCGGTCTGTGAATAATCGAGTCTGGACCAAACAATCTAGTGATTGACATTATGAACATCGATCCACGCATTCGGGACACGATGACATGCATCCACCACGTCAGTGAGCCTGTATGTTGTTACTTATTATGTTTTAACTGCCATAGCAGAGAGTAAAATGAACTGAAAAGTACGATACAAAAAATCAAGGATTTGTCTTACTTTGAAAACAAAAAATACAACGGTTCACGATATTCCGCTTACATATTTTACGTACACTTCTTCGTGTATTTTACCAAGAGGATGTGTACGTTGTGCCACGTCACAAATCAGGTGAAGTTAAATAAGGCTGGCTGCGATCGCAGCATTACGACCACCGTAAGTCTATCGTAAAGAATTTGAATGGAAGAACAGTTTGACGTTGTGTTATTTTTTTTAAGAACAACTGGCTCCCTTGGCGGAAAATAGGCACCAACCCGTGAAGGATATTTCTTTTCCTTGAATTTGGGGTCTGTTCAGGACATTAGCATTGTGTTACGCGTCAAATAATATTGTAATTTGCACGCAGATTCAACATTTACAAATGCAGTACATACAAAACTGCTAATTTTATTTCAGTACATGTAGTTTAAACTTCTAATCGAACCCTTTTCTCAAAGCTTTTGAGATTTATGTTTAGTATTCGTGATTCAGGGATGAGCAATGAAAACATAGATGGAATTCGAGATGCAAGGGAGTGGAGGGCGGGGTGGCACCCTCATATGGGTCATTGAACATGTGTCGATTACCTGTTAGTCATCATTGTTGAATTGGCCGAACACTTAAAGTGAGTATGGTTTTGCGCCGCTTTTAACAATATTCCATCAATATCACTTTTGTGGACACTAGAAATAGGCTTCACTCATTGTACCCGGGTCTACGTCGTGGCGAGCGAACGCTTCAACCACTTGGCTACCCCACCGCCCATGATAAGCTCGGACGAATGGAGATTCAAGACATAGAACTCAACAATGACCATGATGTACCTGGTACGATAGCAGTCTAGCATTCAATGACTTCCCAAGTTACACGGAGAAAATGACTCAGTTTACACCTCCAGCTGATAACAGCATCTAGACATAGACATCTGGACCAGACTGTACAGTGTAGCGCCCATTTAACTACAGCTGAAGTGGAATGAGTCTGATTTTATGCACTTTGATTAATGGCACATCGGTTTGAGAACGGAGGTTGGACTCGCCCATTGTTGGCACTACGTGGTAAGGTAGATTTCTGTGTACTGAACTCTACACCCTTTATGGCAGAGATTATATCTATAGAGTAACGAATGCGTCACGCGCTGAGAAGGAACTTGTTCTGTTAAAGGTCAAAGGAAGACGTCTCAATAAAAGGTTCCATGCACTCACTTCAGTGTTTTGTTGTTAGCGGAATATATGCCGAGTGGCCATGGGTGTAGCTTCATGGGCCGCACACCGACGATTTCAGTTTCATTTCGATCCACACGCCTTATTCTATTACCAACGAAGGTTTACCAAAGGGAAGTAACTGTAAATCATGTTTACATTTGCTACACAGACTTACCTCCCTTTGGGACAAGGGAGGTAACTCTTAATTTGTAGTACGCGGTAAGCTCAAGTTTGCGTTCAACTTCAAGCATTGTTGTGGCCACCTATCACAGTTGGGAGCTTTGACTGGTGGCCGCGATAGTATTATATATAGAGAGATCCGTGAATGGGCTATCACTGTGAGGAGCTTGGTGTGGTGTGTGAGAGTGTAACGAAGGTGTCACGCGCTGGGAAGGAGCTTGTGAAGTTTTTAACAGACGCTGTTCAGAGTTCGGTCAGGGGACAAACACGATTACCTCCCTTTGACCATAAACAAAACCATTCCCGACTGCAGTGCAGTCAGTCCTTTGCGATGTTTATTTGCTATACCAAATTTATATTTAGAAAAAAAGAGAACCCCCATAAAGGAGAACGAATATTCAGATGCACGTTTTATTTTTAATTCACGTAGCTTTACCAGCTTGCATCGGTAGTACCGGGAGGGTCATGAACGCGTCACGTGCTGGAACGGCTTCGTGCACTCATTTCTTTTGTAGTTCGCGCAATGGTATGCTGAATGGCCACGGGTGTGGTTTCGTGGGCCTTGCGATTCGAGTCTGGCTTTATCCGTCAGATCCATCTACCGACAAACATCGATACGACTCCTTGGATTTGAGGAGCCGTGCCAATGATCGAAGGGATGTAACTGTAAATCCTGTTTACATTTGCTAAATTGACTTACCTCCCTTTGTACGCGCTAAACGCTTCTGTCTACCTACATAGCGATAGGCTTGCGTCACCAACAGTGGAACCAGTTTATGAGCACCCTTTGATTGACGGCGTATGCGAAATGTTAAAACAGGACACTGTGCGGAGTTCAATCTCTTTTCCAGCGCGTGACACCTTTGTTACACTTTCGTTAACATCGCTTCCGTCAGTGTGGAAGCGGCCATGACAAGAATCTTGAAATTTGCCCCCTAACCCCAAATGTGGTAACGTTTATACTTTTATTTTATGTCTTTGGGAATGCCATCATAGCGAACTTTAAACAGGTTTACACTGATCAGATTTCCCAGATGAATTTTGGTTTGTTTTATCAGATTGGTTCGAGATTACAGACATCACCTAAACTCCCCACCCCAAACCGTCCCTTACATTCTTACTATGCCAAGTACATGATAGTTTAAATGAAATAGAAATTCAAATTGAAAAACAAAGAAAATAATGTAGCTGGGGTAAGAGTAGATCTATTAGGCGTCACGACTCTCACTACTTGATGTAAACCAAAGACGTATATATACGTCCGTGTGTAAACATATCGGTCAGTCGGTTGCGTATTCAACTCCATGCCAAGTTGAAGCCAGCTATCACAGTGGGGAGCTTTGACATGGTGGCTGCGATGGAGCTCCGCGAACGGTTTATCGCTGTGAGGAGCCTACCGAGGGTGTAGCGAACGTGTCACGCGCCGGGAAGGAGCTTGTTCGGAGTTTAACCAAGGGAGATAACTCTTGAACAAAACACGATTACTTCCCTTTGACCATAAACAATACCACATGTATACCTTGTAGTCTTTTGTGATACATTTTTCTATACTAAATCCAGTTTTAGAAGAAAACAAATTGCATAAAGGAAGAAGAATATTAAAAAGTGCAAAAAGAGTTTTAAATCCGCAGGAATATCTGTTTATAAAGGCGTTTACCGTTTGTTTGTTTGTTTGTTTGTTTGTTCGTTTGTTTGTTTGTTCGTTCGTTCGTTAACGCCGCACTAGGCTATATTCCACCTACATAACGGCGGTCTGTAAATAATCGAGTTGATCGATTGCTTTAAGCCTTCAGTAAAGACCGTGAAAAATGGACAATCCCTCAATTCAAAGCTGAAACGTAGGAGAACAACCCGTGTCGTGTGATTATTTTGTGCTTTTCTGAACATACACACACACACAAAATGTATTCTATAATACATTTGGGGCAGTTTAAACTTACTGCACTTTCATAGACAATTTCTTAACAATCATTAGCAATTTATATGTGGACACTGCCTCCATAAGATGCAATATTAGTATATGAGTATCTTACGAAAACTTTCTCAATTTTGCCTCAAAATAATGGAAATATTTAAATCCTCCGTAAACGCTGTCTAGAGCTACTCAAACAAACCCAGTGGTGGCATATTTTTGTCTTAGTATGAAACAAATAAAGTCCTGGAAGTCTGACGGTGTAACAAGAAGTTTAGACAGTCGGTGATTGAATTACTCAAGTGTTATATGTTTGTTTGCTTGTCATTTCACGTCGCACTCAGCAATATTCCAGCTCTATGACGGCGGCCTTAAAGTAATCGAGTCTGGACCAGACAATCCAGTGATTGATATCGTAGGACATCGATCCACGCTGTTCGGATACGATTACATGCATCAACCAAGTCAGCGAGCCTAACCTCGCGATTCCGTTAGTCCCCCATTATACTTACAAGCATAGTCGTCTTTACGGTAAGCATAGTCGTCTTTACGGTAAGCATAGTCGTCTTTACGGTAAGCATGGCTTGCTGAAGACATATCTCATCCGGGTCTGTGTTATTAGAGACACATAACAAACAATGTCAAAATTGAAAACATGTTTAATCAATGTTTTGCTGCATAGCTGATACTTTTCAGCAGCGATTTTCAGCACTATACGGATTTTCCGGAATTTAAGCTATTGTTTCATTACAACAGCCCGGTCACATCAGCATCGACGGTGTCAAATATCATTTCCAGGTCATTGCTACAGAGAACAATGGAATCCTATGACGTGTAAAATCATATAAATTTTAATTTGAACTTTACACGATATACGGCTTTTCCACCATGACCGTGAAATTGACGTCCATAATTGTATGAACGACACAATTTGACGTTCATACGATTTTAACAAGACTGTATTCTTGAAATGGCGTAAACACTGACGGACTACTTACACATTCCTGGTTTACTTACACATTTTATACAGTTTGGCCCTCATTCTACATCTCCCCGAGGCAAGGGGGTTAACTGACTATGCGACTGGAAACTGGACTTTTACAGTTAGTTAACTCCATTGCTTTCGGGAAGATGTCATCCTATGAAGGTTCATACAAAGTGAAAGTAAAATTGTTTGATTGATGCATGGTAGATTTTCATTTGGCATATTTCCAAAAAAATAACGTAAGAATAAAAAAATAATAATCGGATGTAACTTTAATTTTGATATAAAAGTAACTCGTTCCACCGAAGACGCGTTCACATTGTACATGTACATTTATTCGTTGGCTGACCCGTATACACAAGCTAACATCCATTCTGTTACTCATACACCTGTGTTTTTTAATTTTGGTAATATATAAATACAAACTTAAACAACCGTAACAAAAACGAGGCACTATTTTCTTATATCTAATAATATTCCTATTATTCCATTCGTTTAAAAGAGCATAACTTTGATTCTGTACATCATTGTCAGGACCGATTGATGTTCATTGCAAGCTGGTTGAAATTAGTTGTGACGAAAACGTGGTCGTGCGAGAGGTCAGAGTTACGTCCCCTTACTTGCCGGCGTGAAAACAAAACATGTGTTGACAGTGAGTCTTTCCCTCGTTTTATAGGTAAGAATGAAAGACTTGCTCACACAGAGAAATACTAGTATGTTTGTGAATGTCGAGTGTTTAATTGATAAATATATGTTTTAAAATTATTATCGAGAATTAAAATGTTTTCTCCAACTAGCGCAGAAGAATTTTGGCACCCAAGACTCTAGTTTTATTTAAAAGTCGCAGTATTTATGATTATGGAATTGAACAATAATACATGGTATTGATGGTAATGCTCTTACAAATTATCGATCATAATGAAATCTGACATGTCGATAATTTATTAATTGTTCATAAACGTAGTGTTTATAATATTTATAAATGTTTTGGAAATATATTTATATCTTACATCTGCTGGTTGTGCTCAGAGAAAATTAAATTTCGCGGACGTTTTATCATCTGGGTATTAATATTTCAGTAGCTTCATTCAGCATTCTTCAGTTCAAACTCTATTTCTATTTATATTTGTATGAAGAGAACAAAGCCGGTTTCTCTTGACAGTAAGGCCTATAACATTTTTAAGTGAAAGTGAAAGTATCAAGACACTTAGCCTGTAGGTTGTAGCACTATACACAAAATATTTATATTTAATCATTGTAATGACAACAACAGTAAAAGGCAAATATGAGTCTGATTAACATGGCTCCAAATTGTCAATTCAAACTGAAAAGAATTCTAAATCAATTGGATCAAAATCTTTTACATGTCTCAGGCAAAGATTTTTCAAATTGGATGCATTTATGAGGATCGAGCATTACTGCGCATTTTCTCTTTACCTTTATTATTTTGGAGAAATCCAGTGGATTCCAAGGTAGAATAGATCCGAAGAACCCATGCTTGCCATTAGAGTTGACTAATGAGGATCAGGTGATCACAATGTGTGGCCATGTCAACCATGGGTCTGGCTGGCCAAGACTTGATCATTTACAGGTTGACAGTATATTGCTGGCATATTGCTTACCAAGGTGTAGAACAGTTTACTCTCACTCATTCACTCCAAAAAGTTTAATCATGAGCAGTGTTTTAATTAATAATGAAAGTCATAACCCTTTTGTTAAAATTCAAAGATTTAAGGAGTCCTCCGATTCAAAGACAAAAGTAAAGCCCCAAGACAAGGACATGCACCTCTTCAATTTGAATACTTAACTTTTGATAATATTTGTGATTTTACTTGATTTTACTCTGCACATTGTAAGCCATAATTTCTACCCTGGGACAGAATAGGTTGTCACTATCCCATGTTTGTTGAGGGTTGGTGGTCACAGTGTGCACTTGACTGATTGTGTGTCATCATATTACCTTGGCATTGGGAATGAATCATCATGATCATGTCTGCCTGGTCCAGAGTGGAATCTTTACATGTAGCTGCGACATTTACAGGTCGTCATAATTTAGCAACAATATTTACAATACATGCTCAAGTCGCAATGTTGTAACTGGAATATGTACAGATCATCGTGATGCAGCTGGAATTTTGCAGAAAATAGTGTCTTTATCTTAAAACAATATTCACTCAGTCACTCTAACCACTGAATTTGGTGTGAAACCAGAACGTGTTCAGCAATCAATCATGTTTATTCATGCCCATGTTTTTACAGTACGATCACTGGTGTCCAGCCGAAATAATGACATCTATCATCAAGCTACATGTATTCTCGGGGTCACAAGGAGAGAGCCCGCCCTGCTACATGCTGCAAGTGGATGAGTTCCGCTTCCTCCTTGACTGTGGCTGGGATGAGGACTACAGCATGGACCACATCCGAGAACTCAAACGGTACCAGACTTTATCTTCAGTTGCTCTTAAACCCAGATACCCCTTGATTCGAATACTGTGGTACTCAAACGGTACCAGATATTAACTTGAGTTGCTCTTAAACCAGGATACCCCTTGATTCGAATTCTGTAGAACTCAAACGGTACCAGACTTTATCTTGAGTTGTTCATAGACCCAGATTCCCCTTGATTCAAATACTGTGGAACTCAAACGAAACCAGACATTATCTTGAGTTGTTCATAAACCCAGATTCCCCTTGATTCGAATTCTGTAGAACTCAAACGGTACCAGATATTAACTTGAGTTGCTCATAAACCCATTGCTGTGTTTGAAATTCAGCATGAAAGTCAAAGGGGCCTTGTTATAACCCCATGTAAAAAGGGGCTGCTCGATTCAAATGCATGTACTGTGGCAGCAAACCTCAGGGACCCCTTTGGTTTCTAACAATGCCCCTGGTAGAATTGGCCCAAAGTAACATATGTTTGTTTAAGGGGACTTAAGTCATTGTAAATGGTTCTGGTTTTCAGACTCACTGACTTTGTAGGTTGTATGTCTTTGTACCCAGATGGTGTAAATGATGCTCATTATATCAACCACCGGTTGTTTGGACCAGATTTGATTATTTAGGCTGTCATGAAATAGCCGTGATATTGCTGACTGCTGACTGCTGCGCTAAACATTCATTCATTCAACATTTATTCACTTCTGTCATTCCTTCAAGGGGCTAATTTTCATTAACATAGGTGATGTGTAAAAAGTCAATATTTCATAAGCCCGACCCTTATCCTGTTTATCCAACATGAAAAATGGTTATAGCTGATACCTCACCAGTTTGTTTTGGTTCTGTTACCAATCAAGTGGCAATTTTTTTTAAATGTCGATGCTCACACAGGCGATATCTCCTGTGGGAGAAATAATTCAGGATTATGTGGTTAAATATAAGAACTTAAGAAAATACCAATTTAGGACCAAGTAATTGATTTTTCCCAATTTCCTAGGGCACTTAGTTTAGAATTGTAAATATATCCGTGGATTGTTGTCAATCTGTTTCAGCCACCTTCACCAGATAGATGCAGTGTTGTTGTCATATCCTGACCAGCAACACTTGGGTGCAGTCCCATACCTCGTGGGCAAAGCTGGTCTCTCCTGCCCCATATACTCAACTATTCCAGTGTACAAGATGGGGCAAATGTTCATGTATGACCTGTTCCAGGTAAAGCATCAGTTACCTCCCTTTAACTGGCCAACATTTTTTAAGTTATCATGGTTATTAGCATGTTTGATTCCAGGTATTTAGACATAGTTTTTTCTGTAAGAACTCGTTTTGAGATATGTTTTCTGGGACATATGAGGTTCTATTGATTTGTTTAATTGGAAGTTGGATTTGAACCATGAGAACAATTTGTAATGATTATGAAAATGAAACGGCTTGTTAATGGAATTTGAACAAGTTTAAAAATCTTGGTTATTTATTTTGATTTGCTTTATGAAATTTATGAAATAACATTTAATAAGAATACTTTACCTGTTTCAGTCTCGTCACAACACTGAAGACTTTGATATGTTTACATTGGATGATGTGGATGCTGCCTTTGACAAGATCATTCAGTTGAAGTACTCACAAACTATCACACTCAAAGGTGAGATGTTGGCATGCATGTGCAAGGCCTGTGTCCAGTATGTCCAGTTGTATTGAGTCCAGGGGCGGTCGGGTAGCCTAGTGGTTAAAGCGTTTGCTCGTCACGCCAAAGACCCGGGTTCGATTCCCGACATGGGTACAATGTGTGAAGCCCATTTCTGGTGTCCCCCGCCGTGATATTGCTGGAATATTGCTAAAAGCGGCATAAAACCAAACTCACTCACTCACCATTGCTCACTGTATTGAGTCCAAGAATGTGGATTATTTCATCACCCAACACCAATCTGTGTCATGTTCCCCAGAAATTTGTAAAAATTGAAGGATAGCTAACTTAAGTATCAAATTCAAGCTCTGTTTTAAAATGCAAATTTTAATAGAGTAGTTCCCAAGCACCGATCTATTTTCGCCATATTTGGGTGCCGTGGGGTAGCCTAGTGGTTACATCTTGCCTAAGGGCCTGGTTGAATCCCCACATAGGTACAAATGTGTCATGCCTGTTCTTGTTGAACACTCCCTCCAACCAAACCCAAAGGATTGTCTGATCTGCTATTAGAGCTGTTTCAATGAAATGTCTGATTTTTAACAGAATCATTGATGATCCACAATCACAATGGAGAAACTTGTCGACTCGAGAGTAATATTTATAAAAAAAAAACACCAGTGCATCTTCTCAGTCATTGGGGGCATGGGTGACCCAGTCGTCTAAGGCGCCTTGGGCTCGCCAGAAACCTATGATAGTGGGTTCGAATCCTGGTTCGCCCCAATCATGTTTCTAGGTTTGTCAGCACCATACCCATGCTCGTGGGTTTCACCAAAGTGGTAAATGTCTGAGACCTGCACCACTGTTGGGTTTTCCTCCCACATTAAGCTGACACCCTGTGATATAACTGGAATAATGTTAAAAGCGGTGTTAAATCCAACTCACTCACACTCCCAGTTCTAATGAAGACACTATACATAGTACTGCCATGGTGTGGCTAAATGAAACAATTGATGGTTTCCTGGGCCATATTCGAAAAAAGTAATCTTTCAACAACTCCTCTACCTCAATGATAGTGCAAAGATTGCTTGTGAAATTGGGACCTCTCGCATGAAACTATTTTGTTTCTATTATCAATGTAAACAATGGTTCCTGTGGGAATTCTGAGGCAGTGGAGGGTGCCAGTGTTCTTGTTCAGATTAGAATAGGGGATTGGTTGATCACAGCGTAACCACAGCCCGTTTAACAAAGTAGATTTAGCGCGACAAGTGTTGTGTATGTTGTAGTTTGTAAACTGTAGATTTACAATGGTACTACACCCGTGAAGATCCGGGGTAGAATAGGTCTTCAGCAACCCATGCTTACCGTAAGAGGCGGCTAATATTGTCACAAGAGGCGACTAACGGGATTGGTTGGTCAGGCTCACTGACTTGGTTGATGGATGTCATCATCCCAATTGTGTGGATGGATGCTCAAGATGTCAATCACTGGACTGTCTGGTCCAGACTCTATTATTTACACACCACGGTCATATAGCTGAAATATTGCGGAGTGCAATGTTAAACAACAAACAAACAAACGATGGTACTAGCACTAAGATGTGCACACTGTTTCCAGGCAAAGGCCATGGTCTGCAGATAACGCCCCTAGCTGCAGGTCACATGATCGGAGGCACAATATGGAAGATCGTCAAGGATGGGGAGGAGGAGATTGTGTATGCTGTAGACTACAATCACAAGAAAGAAAGGTCAGTTGTCCAAACCTGCAGCATAGTAATCACATTGATTTGCTTTCAATTTTTATTTTTCATTTTTTAATAAGATATAACCAGCCAACAAAGTACAGTGACATTTATGTGATGTGTGTTCCAGACATTTAAATGGCTGCGTGCTGGAGATGTTCAACAAGCCGTCGCTGATGATCACTGATTCTTTCAATGCAACATACAACCAACCTAGGAGACGGCTAAGAGATGAACAGCTCATGAGTGAGTGGCATGCACAAATATGTCTCATGTGAAATAACTGTGACAAAAGAAGAACCAATTGCAGATATGTCACGAGAGATGACTGACAAAGTCTTTGATGAGGGGTCATTAGAACATGTAGAATACACCAACTTTTGGTGTTCCCCATTGTAATATGACTACAATGATGCTAAGGCTTAAAAAAATAGAAGAATTGGTTCTCAGGCAATGACTTTTGAAAATAAAGTACGGGTGGGCTGTTTTGTTTTTTTTGTGTTTTTTTTCGCTTGTTGAAACTAGAATGTAACCAAATAAACATTGTGTACCATCAACCTGGGAAAGGGCATCCATACATTAACAAGGACACAAACTCCTATTGCCGCCATGACCATTACACGAAATGCGCAGGAAAGCAGTTCGCATGTAAGGGGAAGTAACTGAGTGCGATATTGGACTGCATTGTTTTAAAGTAGGATTTTTTAAATCTTTTTGAAAATGGAAATAAAAACGAAACATGCGGCAGACTTTTGGATGATGCGGGCAGTGCCTGGGAGCCAAGACTATTATTTCTTTTAGTCTGAAAGGAGTGAAAAGTGTACTCCTGCCATGAGATACATGTTGGACCTATGCTTGTTGTAAGAGGCGACTAACGGGATCAGGTGGTCAGGCCTGCTGACTTGGTTGATACATGTCATCATTCCCCAATTGCATAGGTCGATGCTCATGATGTTAATCACTGGATTATCTGGTCGAGACAAAAAGATGTAATATTTCTGAGTGCGGCATTAAACAACAAACAAACACACCAACAGATGAGGATGAAGTTTTTCTGACAAGAAATCAATGACAAATCTATTGGCAATATTCTGATAACTAATTTGTATGTTTCATAGCCACTATCCTACAGACAATGAGGAATGATGGGAATGTTTTGGTTGCTGTGGATACAGCAGGAAGAATGCTGGAACTTGCACAGTTACTGGTAAGTCCTTTGTGCATATCAGCTTAAGCATGTTAAATTTATGGGAACTGATAACAAGATGAGATATGATCATCACATCCAGCTATTGGGAAGGAAAGTGTGAGATGTTTGTGATTGTTTTCAATGTTTGGCACAGTGGTTGTCCAGAAAAAGTGACCTATATTAAAATTGTAGATGTTATATCAAGTTGTGGGAGCTAGAACTATCAGTTCCCTTTTCTTGTGTCTCTCTCCCTATGTTGGAGTCACTCTCCCTCTGTTTCTGTCACTGGCTCCCTGTATGTGTTTCAGGATCAGATGTGGAGGAGTGCTGAGTCAGGCCTCTCTCCCTATGTTGGTGTCACTCTCCCTCTGTTTCTGTCACTGGCTCCCTGTATGTGTTTCAGGATCAGATGTGGAGGAGTGCTGAGTCAGGCCTCTCACCCTACTCCCTTGCTCTCCTCAACAATGTCAGCTTTAACGTGGTCGAGTTTGCCAAGTCACAGGTAATACATGATCCGGCTCAAGCTTAAGATGTCTGCTGATGTATATTTGTGTTCACATATTTTAGAGTTGATACATGTCATCGATCCCAATTGCATGGATCGATGCTCATGATATTAATCACTGGATTGTCTGGTCCAGACTCAATTATTTACAGACCGCCGTCATATAGCTGGAATATTGCTGAGTGCAGCGTTAAACAACAAACCAACCAACCAAGCATATTTTAGAAAGATAAATACTGTGAACATTGTATATGATTTCCTTGTGTGCCTCTTAAGTAAACTGTGAACTGGACACAAAAGTTCATAGTCAAGCGCAATCCTATTTTTTTTTCTTTTGGACACTTCAAATAAATTGTTTAAATTTTGAAATGTTAAAAACTGTTAAAGATCAGCAAACATCCTTAATTTAGTGTTGATATGTGTTCATGTAGGTGAATCTGGTTGTATGAAAATGTGAAACTTCATGATAGGCTTCTTCAGGCGAAACCAAGCAGTTGCAGTCTGATGACCAACATGATATCTGAAGTGACTGCTGCGATAACTGCACTTCATCTGTACGTTGTTCACAGTGTGTCAACCTACCTGATAGGTCATTCAGCATTTATCTTCACAAATGCTCACTCAAGGAACAAGACCAGCTTTCTAAATCCACGGAACCTGAAAAATCGCCCATACCAAAAGACGTTAAAAGATGGTACTTGTTGTTACCCTGTCTGGCGCTCGGCATTAAGGGGCTAAAACAAGGACTGGTCGGCTCGGAGTCAGTATACTGTGTCTGAGTGGGGAATTCATGTTAAACTGCGGCATGGTATCTCAGTTAGCTAGCACTATAAATCGGCATCAGTCCAGACTAGTACAAGCAGCCACACAAACACACACGTACATGCACGTCGCTATATAAGTGCAATAATCTTGGACGTGATGTTAAACCCCATTTCACCTTACATCACCTCAGAGGTGTTTGGGTGAACTGGTTTTAGAAGCTGGACACCATTTGTTTAAGTTTGTTTCCACATAGGATCTAAAGAAGAATGAAAAATGCATAGTGTGAGATAGGATAAGTATATATGATATAAAAATACAATTTATTTTAAAATTTCCAATTTATTAAGTAAGACATTTTGCTGAAATGAGCAAGTTTTTTAGCTATGTTAACTCTGCAATGTTCGCATGATTCGAACATGGATTTCTTCACTATACCTCTATTTAAGGTGGAATGGATGAGTGACAAGATCATGCGAGCGTTTGAGGACAACCGCAGTAACCCATTCCAGTTCAAGCACCTCAAACTGTGCCACAACCTGGCGGAGTTGGCCAGAGTGCCGGAACCTAAGGTAGGCCTTCGCACTAATGCTGAGGATGCATGTTTGGCACCTTGATTTCATTTCAGGTTTTTATTCACAATGCAGCCATAGCATCCATTATAAAGACTGAAATTTTCCTCGCCCGTAGAATACCTTTACCACTACACAGACTGACTTGGGTTTTTGCGGATTTCTGCCCATGCTGTTGCGTGGTTCTGTTGTCCGACTCTAATTGAATTTTATTGTCTCTTAAAATTGCTGTTCAAGTGGTAAAATCACTGAAGAAGGGTAGTGTGTTGTTTCCATGTGGTATGTGGTGTGTGCTGAGTCAGTCTCTGTGACGGATCGAATGAACACTGCAGAAACCTTGACTATTTATTCACAGATTTCAGAGCTAGTATGGCCATTCTTGAAGAACAACTTTAACCCAACTTGGATATAGCTGAAATTTTTAGCTATTATCGTCCTGTAGCAGGGTTTTACCAGAGCTCCAGATAAGCTGCGTATCTGTGTAAAATACGCATCAGAAATGCAGAAATATGCAGTAAAATAAAATCCAAGCATATCAAATACGCAGCGAACATTACAGATACGCTACAAAAATAAAACTTGTGCGTATCATCAAAATATTGTGAAGTAACCCTGCGTATTCGATAAGCAAGTCAGCAACTTATTTTGAAATTATAAACTGGGATTCCGTCAACCTTGCCAAACTCCACAATGACAGTTACATCATGATCATTTGCCATCACACTTTCTTGTGGAAGTATCGTGGTATTTTTTAGTATAAAGCTCTCGAACCCACACGACACCAGTTTGCAGGGACTAGATGTATAGTGTTTTTAAATATTTAACTTAAATACCCACATGTATAAAAACTAGTGGGTAAAAGAAATTTGAATACCCAGATAGAATTACTGATACCCAATGATTTTAAAATGCATGAGTAAAATACCCACAACACCAAAACTTATCTGGAGCTCTGTTTTACAGGATACGCAATATTGCATCTTATGTGGATACCCGTGAGAATTGATGCAAACAATTTACAGTGCAAGTCCTATATGGCACAAGGCAGTATAGCTGTATAACTCATTAAATTTATCACTGTAGCTATGTGTAGGTTGCATGTTACATGTTTAACTGACACTTCTATTCTGACAAAGTTCATTGTGTCGGCATTGTCAATGGTTGCTTTTTCTTCTCTACACCATTGACAACCTCATGGATGAAGGCTGCTGAGGGTGTCCAATGAAATGACATCAATAAAATTATTTGGAATCATCTGAAGGGGGACAAATGTCACTACAGGAAACAGAATTTTGACCCCAGAAGTAATGAATGATCTGTGGGGAGGTGTGTCCTGAGTCGTGCTGGGCTCCCCAAAGTGGTAAATTTACGACCTGTATCACTTCAGACATTCCTCCATCACTAAGCTGACTCATATACATGTATTACGCTGAGAACTGAAAGGCTTTTGAATGTGGCATAAACCAAACTCACTGACCATGCTGACTTAGGCATGTGGGAGACCCCGCAAGTTTGGAGACATTTCCTGTCAGTTTTACTCATTTCCAATTTTGGAGCAAAGTTGAAGCTCTGAGAGCTGTTTCAGAATTATAGCCCATGACGACTACCATCATTTGGTGTTTACTTGTCATCAGCACAATTTAGTAGTCTTCAGCTAGCAGACTAGTGAAATTTTCAAGTCTGAAATGATTGATGTTATGAGCAAAATCTGTCACTGTCTGCACACAATAAATCCATCAAGTCACCAAGCCTGACCACCTGATAGCTTCGTTTGCTTGGGGACCTATTTGTATTGAAATCCCGATAGGGTCTTGCAATATGAATAATGCTAATTCAAAGACCAGGTTTGCATCAATCATAAAAGTCGTACACATCCTATGATGTTAAATATTCATCCTAACAGATGCTTTTAATCACACAACCTTAAGCTCTGAATTACTTCTTGAGACCCATTTTATGCACTGTAGATATTAAAGGGAGACAATTCTGTCGCAACAAGTGCCCTGACTGTCTTGTTGCAGAGCCTGTTATTGAACAAAGTGATTTCAATTGTTTATGCTTGAAGGTAAGGTGATGTTTCCTTTGTTCACACCTTATTTACAAAGAGGTCCTGCCGATAACCCATTAGAGATCACTGTGCATGGTGTGTATCACATCCAGCTGCCATTCAAAAACAAGAGGCTAGGTTTCTTATTGAGGGGAATGCAGGGTCCATGTGGTCTATGTCTCCATTAGGAGCATGGTTTATGTATGGCCATGCTCTAAATGTCAGCCCTCTAGAACTTGTGTGGAAACATGCCGTAAAATATAGAAGTGTAAAACCATGATATTGACCTTCTTCTTTCAAGTCCATTACTGCATTAGGAAGCATGTTTGAATGGAGTTGTCACTCAGGGTGTGGTATCATTCACGTGTCATTCACCTTATCTTTCATGTGGTAATAGGCCGGCTCTGCGGTGTAGGGGATAGAGTGTCTACCCAGAGAGAGAAAGTCGGTGGTTCTATCTACTGGACATGACATACCAAAAGACTTTAACATTTGGTACTTCTTGTTACCCTGCATGCTGCATGGCATTAAGGGGATAAAACAAGGATTGGTCAGCTCAGAGTCAATATGCTTGTTGTGAGAGAAGAAGCCACATACACACACATGTGCACGTCGCTACACACGTGCAATAATCTTAAAACACTCTGTGATTTAGTGATATGAGGATTAAACTTGTGTTGCCTGGTCATGGCGGTATTTTCAGTGGTAAAGTAAGGAAGAGAATTTATGGATGTCAACTTCTTTATGAGCAACACAACGTTTCAGAGTATACCGTATTCGATGTAATAAGCACCCAGGGCGCTCTCAAAATTAGAAATAGTGGGCTCTTATTAGAATATTTTTTTGGTGAGAAAAAACCAGAGTTGAAAATCGGAATTTCATGGTTTATGCTGACAGCCTGAAATACATACGACAGATATATTTTTCGAGAATTTAATTGCCCATAATTAAGGATGCGTATAACACACAAGTGCGCATTATACACGAATAAATAAGTCTTGTGTACATTGATCAATCGGAAGGGGTGCTAACTGGGATTATGCACTCGCCAATATATTAGCAAATATCGCCGTGGGTGCTTATTAGAGTGGGGCGCTTATTACGTTGAATACGGTATGCTTACTGCTGCATCGGGTGAATAAATGCCATCAGACATAGTGTAAGCATGTACTCCGAAACGTTGTGTTCCTCATAATAAAGAAGTTGACATCCATATATTCTCTTCCTTATGTGTATCACTTCTAAATGCCTTGCAAAGAAGTGGTAAAGTGGTTGATTACTTGGGGTATCTTTTGTATCACTCATGTTATTTTGATCTATAATGGTCTATAGACCCACTCTTCCAAAATGTTGAAAAAAAAACCAACCTAAAGAACAATATATTTTTCTTCCAAACAGATTGTTAACTTGTTTCAGAAATGTAAAAGGGACAGGAAGGGAGATTTCCCTTTGACTTTGTCATGGCATTCATTTAATTTATCCCCTCTGACATTTGTAAAAGAAACAACTTTTTAAGATTCTGCTTTGACCATGGATATGTTTTACCTCATGACTTAGGAAATGAGCTGTCAGTCCAGTAATAAGAAAGAGTCAAACTAGAGATGAGAATCAATTGCTAAAAAACAGAGCAAGTCAAAATATATGACTGATAGGGACTTGAGACATGCCCAACAGCATGACACTCTGATGGACATACATGTCATGTATCACTTTTGACTTACTACATGTTTAAAGTTTTTATCAAGTTTATAAGCTGGATTTATTTTCAACAATATGGTTGATAGTTGCCTTCATACCAAGATACCTGTGTCTGTAAACAATCCTTTTGAAAACCATGGCATTTGTGCTTGAGAAATTGCATTAAATACATTGATTATCAGAAATAACATGACTGAACCTTTAATGTCTACTGGCAGGATGTCAAGAAGGTTTATGTTAATGTTCACATCAGCATGGTTTTCTTGGACTGCTGTCACATGACAGTAATTGACAGTAATAAATGACAGCGATATTCTTACTACTGATGGGTTTTTTTATACTGTTTTGGACCTTCACAATTAATTTGTCACTACAATCACTGACCTGCTTACAGATGTTTGAATTATCATGAGATACAATGACATGCATCAACGAAGGCCCATGAAGTTCCGGGTTAGAATAGGTCTTCAGCAACCCATGCTTGTCATAAGAGGTGACTAACGGGATCGGGTGGTCAGGCTCGCTGACTTGGTTGATGCATGTCATCTATCCCAATTGCGTGGATCGATGCTCATGTTGTCAATCACTGGATTGTCTGGATTACTTACAGAAAGCCGTCATATAGTTGGAATATTGCTGAGTGTGGTGTTAAACAACAAACAAACAAACATGCATCAACCAAGTCAGCGAAACTGACCACCTGATTCCGTCAGTCGCCTCTTATGACAAGCATTGTCACCTTTTATAGCAAGTATGGGTTGCTGAAGACCTATTCTAACCCGGATCTTCATAGGTCCAGTCAGTCCCTGTTGTCTGGCTGCCCTTGTGTGAGGTTTAACCCATGGTTTTGATACTCTCACTCAGTCAGTATCTGTGGTCTGGCTGCCCTTGTGTGAGGTTTAACCCATGGTTTTGATACTCTCACTCAGTCAGTATCTGTGGTCTGGCTGCCCTTGTGTGAGGTTTTACCCATGGTTTTGATACTCTCACTCAGTCAGTATCTGTGGTCTGGCTGCCATGGTGTGACCATGTACACATGGTATTGATACTCCCACTCACTCAGTAACCATGGTAACTGAGGCCTGGTCAATTGGTGTCAGATTTCCAAATCAGTCAGTCCTACAATTCCTTTAACTTGACTTCATATGTGACCCCCCTAAATGTCCAAGCTTCCTCCCACACAGTGCACACAATACAATGGCAGAGCGCACAATGACAACCGGTAACATACTGGCCATTTCATCATGCTCATGCA